TTGATAATGGTAGGTTTATTTTGAATGGATAGTCTAGGGCAGTAAGGGAGTTAGGGCTTCTCCAAAGGAGTTTACTAATCTTAGGATTTTTTTGGAAAATATTGTCATCTAAAATTTAAACTTAATCCATTTGGTTAGTCTTTATAGAGGTTGAATGATTGTTATTGACTTGAGGGGTGTTAGGCACAATTAGAGTTGAGGTCTCAATTTGGTAAAAAGGGTCTTTTATAGCTTTGAAAAAATCATTTTTGCGTTAGAGTTGTGTTTGACTTGTTTTGGTAATTTGATATGGTTTGAAAATTGAGTTTCTTAGTCTAAGGTTTGTAGACTTTGTAGTCTCAATAGGGTTGTGATTGTCTTTTGGATTTTTTTTTTTTCTTGGTTAGTTATTTGCTTATGGTATTGAGATTGATATTGGTGAAGTTGTTTTGCTAGATAATATGTTTAGGGTTTATAGTAACATCTTCACTAGGAATTTTATAAGAAGCAGGTTCAACTATTTGGTCTTTGTGAGAGATTTTCAGATTCCATGGGGGTGGATGATCTGACTGGGTTGAAGGACTACTAACAAGTTGCCAAACAGGAGTTTTATTTCTAGATGTAATGAGACATGCATGTTTTGTTGATGTGAATGGATATGTATATGATGTGCAAATGCATGATATAACTCAAATCAATCAAAAATAAGATCTAAACTTTATGTAATATAATGAAATCATAAAAACACTTTTGTATCTCATGTCTTTGTTGTAAAAAGGTTTTGAAAAAACAAGCTCTTTTTTATAAGTTATGGTTGCTATACAAATCATTTTTGAAATATGTTTTGTTAATAATAGATTCTTTTTCTGAAGTTAAAATATTCGACTCATTTTAAATGTTTTATGTGATTGAAGAAAAGATTGGAAAGGTTAGAAAGGATTGTTGTTCAGGGTTTGTATATTAAGGTTTAGGTATATTTGTAGTGTAATCTACATTTTGAAAGCTGGTATTAGGTATATTTGATTTTCTAGGTGGATTTATTTCATATGGTATGTTTATGACAGAAGGGATTTTGGAGATTCTTCCTAAATTTATAATATTGGATAAGGAATATTCATCCAAAAATCGAGAACTAGTTGAATGCCGATGGAAAGATAATTTAACTTTTCCATCTATATACTGGGTTATCTTTTTAATTTGAACATTTGATTTTGGTAGTTGTTGTAGTTCTGGTTATATTACACCTTCAAGGGTTCAATCTTCTGGAAAGGTTACATCTTTCCACTAGATGACTCTAGGAACTACTGTGTTTGATTTGGAAAGGTCAGTTTGGAGTACTAAGGTTTCACCTCTTTATGCTTAGAATTTATGTTTGTTGGCAAAGGCTAAGAACATGGCTTTCTAATAGGTTTTGAAGATTAAAGCCACTGGGATTGATCCTTCAAGCATATAGTAATTGTGGGTTTTTATCTATAGGATCATGCTTTATAAATATTTTGGTCTTTAAACAATATAGTAAGGTTTGGGTAACAATCAAAAGAAATTGCCCCATTGTATAAGCTAGATTCGATGGAACTCAATGAGTCTTTAAAGTTTTGGAATAGAAGTATTAAGACCTTCTTTAGTAGGGGTTTGATCCCGACTTGTAATAGGTTAATATGAATGTATTTGTAGTTGCGGTCTTGATGTTTTTGTGGGGATTTTTTATAAAGGAGTTGGATGGTTTCAAAAGGTTTTATAAGCTGAAATCTTTTTCTTCAGTTTTGATTGTGAAATCTGTTTTGAAAAGATTAAATTTGGAATTTTGATAAATTTGTGTTTTTGAAACTTTTTGGATTTTCCTATCATCAATATTTTTTGTAAAATCTTCAATTGTAATTTCTTCACTTTTGATAATTCTTTTACTTTCAGAAGATTCAGAGATAGAATAAGCTAAATTGAGGTTGTTCTACAAAAAAACATAATCCATAATTCAGAAAGATGATAAAAAATACAGGTCGCAGGTTATATGAGTATATTGCCTTTTCATCACTTTTTGAGGCTTATTACCATTTACTAGGGTTCACCTATGCTTCTAATGTTTCTCTCTCTCTCTCTCTCTCTCTCTCTCTCTCATATATATATATATATATATATATATATATATATATGATCGGTGTAATTTTCTTCAACTTAGATGCATTACTCTCTCTCTCTCTCTCTCTCTCTCTCTCTCTCATATATATATATATATATGATCGGTGTAATTTTCTTCAACTTAGATGCATTATCTCTTATCCATCTTCTTTGTGACTTGTTATGTAACTTGTGCTTTTGTTGTGAGATGGATAAAAAAATTGAAGAAAAAATATTTTCAATCGATAAAAACATGTTTTTTTAAAAAAAAATCAATGTTGAATGATGAAAGAAAAAAGAAGTAAAAAAACAATGTTAGCTCGTGCTAACCCATTAAGTCTGTGACCCAAGTCATTTGACTAAAACAATGAATTTGAAAAAACTTTAAAACCTAATTTTTAACTAACCAAATATTGAAAGATTAAATTGAAAAAAATCAAAAACACTAAAGAAAATTGAAGGATTAAATTGAAAACAAAAGTCAAACATACAAAAGGCAAAACAATATAACAATTATAAGTTAAAACAAAACTTGAGGCTGTTTGAGCCAACTTGTCAAACCTTTATGTCAGGTTATGAGATCGGGATAATCCGACAATAAGTAAAATGAAGAAAATCACAAAACTTGATTTTTTTTTATATAAAAAAAAAAACCAATGTTGAATGTAGAACCATAAGATGGAAAGAATTAAAAAAATAGCAATTATAAGTCACAAAAAGTTTAAATCCACCTAGATCAACCTGCCAAACCAATCCACCTAGATCAACTTGCCAAACCCACGGGTCAGGTCATGGGATCGACATTATCTTATAGTGAAAGGAAAACAAAGAGAATTACAAAACCTAGGCTTTTTAGAAAACCAATGTTAAATCATTAGTAAAAAAAAGTGAAAAAAATGATGTCCACCGTTGTTAGCTTATAAAACTCGTGCTCTAAGCTATTGATTGGAAACACCAAATATAAAAAACCTCGAAGACCAATTCTCAATAAATTAAATATTAAAAAAATATTATTAACACAAAAAGATCCAAAAGAAAGAATAATTATTAAAAGGAAAAAAAAAAGATGTGAACCACCTAGGTTAACCCGTCAAATTCAAAACTCAAGTAATGAAATCGAAATAAAAATAAAAATAATCAAGAAGCCTATTAAAAAAAAATGTCAAGTATTAAGATTCAAAAAGAAAAAAAAAATGAGAATCTATGTCAGCTAATAAAACTTATGACTTGGGCCATTTGATTGGAAGCATCAAATCTGGAAAAACCACAAATCCTTGATTTTAAAAAATCAAATGTTAAGAGGTAAAACTAAAAAAAAAAATCAAAAGAAAAAATAGCAACTAAAAGAATGGGGATAAAATTTAAAAGGAAAAAAATAAGAGTGATAATCTTGGATTGAAGAGCTAAATTAAAAAAAAATACTAAATAATTAAAAGAAAAAACCATCAAAAGAATAAGAGCTAAATACAAAAAATTCAATAAATTAAAAATTTTGATTAAAGAATAAAATTAAAAACAATTGAAAATTTTCAAAAGAGGCAAGATGAAAATGAAGAAAAAAAAAAGAATCAAGATCAAATTTTTTAAAAAAATAATTATTTAAAAAAAATCTATATTAAATGATGTAATTAAAAAAATAAAAAAATAAAGATCGATACCCAAATATACCCAACCAAAAAAACTATCCTAAAAATTTAAATGTTAAGCACGAATATCAAGGAAGGAAAAAAAAAGCCCTGTAGAAGAATTCAATAACACGATAAAAATAATTTTTTGACCGTCATACGATGATGGATGAGCCACCAAAACACAGTGACATCTCTAGCACTCCCAACATATTTTTTTTAATATTTTCAATTACTTTAAAAGACAAGTGTATCTTTTTACTAATATGCCAATAACTAAAAACACCCAAAACACCCATATGAAAATATAAAATTATCCTTAAACCAAGCCTAAATCAATTTTGAGATAAAAGATTAATTGTGATTTTGCTATGCTAAGAATAATGATAATACAAAATTACCCCCAAAGCAAGCCTTAATTAATTATGATGTAAAGGATAAATTAGTAATTATGCCATGAAAAAAACATAAAATCTCATAAATTAATTATGATGTAAAGGATAAATTAGTAATTATGCCATGAAAAAAACATAAAATCTCATAAATTAATTATGATGTAAAGGATAAACAGATTTTATGTTTTTTTCATGGCATAATTACTAGTTTATCCTTTACATCATAATTAATTATGCCATGAAAAAAACATAAAATCTCATAAAGCCCTTGACAATCAAATATCTTATTATTTTTTTAAAGAGTAACAAAGGTATTTCACTATTAAAAACAATAGGAATACATTTGTATCTCCATTAAAAGCGAGAATAACAGTTGCATTATACAGGAAAGACTGTTTTACACTTGCGCTTAATCTTCTAATCTGATTTGATGAAGTATAAAAACATAATTTTACTAGTACAATTCACAATAAATTCCCTTTAATGCTACAGTAAATATCCCAAATACCCTCTATATCTTTGGTAAATTTTACATGAATTAACTCTCATCTTTCTTTCCTTCTTTCTTTCTTTATATATATATATATCATCATTAACCCTTCGTCCAATCCGCATCCCTTCTGACAAGCAGAACCTAAATCACGGTACCAGGTTGATAAAATCCCACCTGTTAAACCCGCGACATTACCAGGTTCTTCTCCTTTGAACTGTGGTTCATGAGGCTTCGATTGTTCTTGCACGCACATGTCTGGACCCCAAAATCACAGCCATCACAGCTCAGACAAAGCTAGCCCAAGCGCCTATTCATGATATATAGATGGTCCATAGAAAGACCAGGAACACAGAGCACGGAACCAGTGATGAAAGCAAAACAAAAACTTTCACCTGCAGCTGCCAAGAAAGATCACTGCTCGATCAGAAAGACATTTGTACCATAGCATGTGAGTACAAAGGCATTATACAAGGCATCATCTATTTCTTAAACATACACTTGCTCAAAACATCTAAATAATTCACATATGCAAGAGAAAAAATTGGAAAGGGGCACCGGGATGCCACCTATTTAGAAATCTACGAACAAATAACAAATTGGGGAAAACAAATACTATGCACATGCAGGTTTGGGCAGCAATACTGGTTTTGTATCCTTCTTGATCAAACACTCTTCTAACACTGTATGTTCTTGGATCGGCTTGGTCCCCATATACGGATGGTATGGTCGTCACTAGCTGAAGCCAGCATTTGATGCCTTTTAGGGTTCCAGCAGACACAGTTCACTGTCATTAAATGGCCAGACAAAACCTCAATTGGCCTTGAGTTCCGCCGATTCCAGATGTAAACCTGCTAGGAAGTAACAACATAATTTCAGACTAAAGTAACTCCACTAAATAACGGCAGACCAGAAATGAACAAACAGTTTAGTGATGCTTCCATCTGCTTAACATTAGAATGTGAATCTGCATGCTACGAGAATATAAAGGAGAAAGACAAAATAAGTCCCCACTATAAGATAAAAAAAAATATAATCACTTGTAATATGCATGGAGATGAATTATTTGTTTCACAAAAAGCTGAGGCCATGGAGAAAAAGGCCATACCTTTGAATTCTCGCTACCACTGGCAATGAATGAGCTATCCAATCCACCAAAGCAGGATCTTATCACATACTTGTGCTGCTGGTGGCCTATATATTTCAATGGTTTCTTCCATTTTCCCGCAACATCCCACAAATGGATCTCTTGGCTATTAAGATTGACAATAAAGAACTTGCTATCAGCAGAAACTGACAGGGAAGTAATTGGTTGCTCTTCTGGAATGACCTGTTCAGCATTTGTCCTGACATTTAATATCCGAATTTCTAAATCTGACATTACACTGATCAGATTTTCCCCATCTGGTGTGACAGCAAGATCCAAAACCTTAGGCATCCTTGTGCCCCTCCATGCTTTTATCTCGTTGCCATCACAGTCCCACATGCAGATGCCTTTTTCAGGGTCAGAACTGCCACACACAAATCTCTTTGAGTCGGGAAACCAAGCACATGAACTGACAACGAAGCCATGATCCCCAAAAGTATGCTTGCATGTACCTGTTTCCACATCCCACAACTTGAGAACTTCCACATTTCCACACGTTAGCAACTTTGTATCATCAGGGCTCCATGCTACAAAGGATACCGGGGTTTGATGGCTTCTTAGCATGTGTTTAAATGACAACCTCCCATCTTCCAGTACCTGGCATGAGAATTGCAAAATTAAATGACAGCCTCCCACTTTCAAATTGGTACGCATCTTCATTTTTCACCTAGAATAACTTGTAAATAAAGTTCTAAGCACAAACTCAAAATCAACTCAATGCAGCACACACATGTAAATATAAAGCTTTAGATTAATATAATATATGAACATTGAGGGTATTCACAAAACTGTAATTGAATAGTCATGACAAGGTCAATGAATAGAGCAAGATAATATTTCCACTAAAGGCAACTAAGCTGGGACCTATTCAGACTGTCTTAGAAACTAACTCTCACACAATTTAATATAGTGCATAGAAACAGTAATCAAATCCTACGAGCTCTAAGGCCTTTGGTAAAGCTTAAAATCCAAGATCCCAACATTGTGAAATTATCATATTTATTGCAACAATACTCAATTCTCTTGTTTTCTAAAATTTTCAATTATCTAAATCAGCACAACAATGGGGCAAAATCTTTCATTTAGCTCCACATAAATAACATCATGTTAGTCGCTATCAGCTGGCTCTTGCATATTTTTAGAAGAGCTTATTATTTCAGTAATCAACCATTCCACTTGAAATATAATTTTTCTTTTTAAAGGCAATTCCATGATACCGACATCAACAAGCAATTGAAATATTTTGTATTATCATATAGTAAACTTCATTTAAGCTCCTCTGAGAGACTTGGACATCAAGTCTAAATTTCCAAAAATGTCATAGCTAGCCAAATAACTTAGGGCATAATTTATCTCAAATACAAATCACTCCATCCAGTACTACTTTGTACATCAAGAGCTGGAAATTTAAATTAATCTAAAACAAGTGAATATAAAAGCATCAGCTATCACTAACTTTCAAACTCATCTAACAACAACAGCAAGGAACTTAATGTCTGCTGGTCCTCAAAGTTAACCAGCCATAAATAGCTTTTGAACATTTCCTTTGTCCTCTTTTTTTCATTCACCATTCCAAATGAAAAATTTCCTGGAAAAATCGAGATGTGGAACCTTGAATAATGATTACCCACACACAATTCCCTGTGTTTTTCATCCCCCCAAAACAAATCTCCCTAAGTTGCAAAATAGCAGAATACAGCTCCCCACACATTGCCAACCACAATGGCAATTTTTCATACCAATTCTCAAAGACAAACTTGGATCAAGAAAGTAATGCCCTATTTTGTCTGACACTTGTGATAAGCAAGCCCACAGGATAAAGCATCAAAGAGTACCTTCCATATGATGGCTTTGCAGTCTCTTGAAGAAGAAGCTAAGTACTCCCCATTATTAGAGAATTGAACAAACCAAACTTCATTCTCATGCTCAGTCAATGTCTGCAAAACACAAACAACAAGTGTGTATATGTTGTTCTGTTAAATATGAAAAATTGCAGGTTCGTTCAAATGACAATCTCACCAAGACAGATTATCTAGTGCTCTCAGGTCAATTCTAAAATTAGTTTTTGTTTAGTCTCAAGCTCAGTTGTTCTGCAACAGTTATTTTCAAACATTTAATAAGGGTATGCATAAGAATAAATAAATAAACATTTGAAGGTTGATAAGAAAAGGCCAAAGGCCAATCGAGAGGAGGTAGATCTCATGACAAGCTTAATAACAGAACTCATCTGCTTCCCAGACAATCCTAAAACTAGCTTTCATTTGTATGGTTTATTCCAGCAAAATTCTTACTCTGTTTCTACCCAAAAGGATATTGCTCAGTTCTTTCTACCGCAAACAATGCTAAAAGAGTACACTTCATGAATTTGGTGGACCATGAGGAAGGCTGAGAACTAGGTTCAATTTATATGTATGCATGACTGCGCACAGGGTTGCTAAAAGTTGTAACCTTGCATCACAAGTTCCATGTGGCTTTCTCATATATATTCTAAAATTAACTTTCAGTTATCCAGCTTCTCTTAACAAGATTCTAACTCTATAATTCAATATAAAGACAGCTAGATAAGCACCAAGCGAGTCTCAAAAGCAACAATGTTCAAAAAAGAATTGCATTTTCATTCCTGCATCTCTAAAACAGAAGCATGAAGATGAAACAATGTTATCCTTCATCGTTTCACAGAATTTTTCATGAAGCTGCCATCCTCAATAGGGTTAAGACATTAAATAGTGTTATATTATCATGCTGTAAGTTGAAAGTGACTTGTCCATGATTCTTTCATTATAATGTGTATTTAGCATCATCATTGCCAACTTACAAGTTTTTGGGCTTCGTACCAACATAAGCCATCTGAATGCTCAATTAAGAAATAACGAGTAATCTTAATGCACACAAGTATTCAGCATTTAAGAACATCCAATAAGTTAAAGCAATTAGCATTTCCATGTTCTATTAAAAAAAGTCAGTTATTTTTAGTTTTGCTTCTTTTTAACATTTTTAAGCAGTAATAATTTAAAAGGCAGTAAGAAGCACACCTGGATGGTCTCTGTGGGAAACTGGTCTCTTGAGCAGTTATGGTCCTCATAAAGTGAAATTGGCTCAACTGGATTGTGATAATCACATGAATCAATTTGAGCTGTAATAGCAGTTTCAACCAAATGTTCTAACCTTCTTTCAGGCAGCACAGCTGGTGGAGGAAGCAACGTTTCCAACTCTGTGAGCAAGTTTTTCCGCTGGCCATGAATGGCATTGTCATCTGCCTTACTCAATTCCATCTCCTTCAAGCAAATTATACTATAAGCAAGATTATGGACATTCTCCTTGCCCATTCGTAATGCAGGAACCTGGTTCCGCAAGACTGAAAGAGCTAAACAATCATCGCCACCAATTAAATATTCTAACAAACACTGCTTAAACACCAGAAACAACACCGATGCTCTCGTTTCATCCGCCAACTCCTGAATAGCACAAAGGGTATTTATGCAGCCATCCCAATCTCCTTCCAATATTTGTGATTCCAGCAACTCAAGATTCATAGATTTGTATGAAACCCCAGATTCCGATTCAAGACAAGAACCTGACTTTCTATAACCCAAGGAATAAAGGCTTTGAATTATAACCCTTACAAATTCATGCTGCTTTATCAAACCTTTTGAGCCGATTGTTGTAGGTGAATTCTCCATTTCCGGGCAAACTCTACAAATGTTTGACCAGTTCTCTCACTTCATGTGGTCAGATAGTGATCGAATAATCCCTGAGAAACGAGTGGGTATCCGTGAGTGTTCAGCTTCATAAAAACAGCTAATTAATTATACGCTAGCTGTTGCAATCCAACTATCCTTGACGACCTTAACCCAAGCAACCAAAGATTTCATTTACCATATACTCCAAAAGTCCAGAAACTTAACGGAGATAATCGTCTGTCCCCCAAAATCAGAATCTTCAATTCTTTTAAGCAAAAAACAGATAAGATAAAGAAAAAGAGAAAAACTGAAACATTTATTGGTTCCCAGAAACTCAAAATCTTGAATTGGATTAAAAATAAATAAAAACCTTCAAGCTGGTTCCATACACCCACATGTCCTGTTACTAGAAAAAAAAAAAAAAAACAACCCTGAGATACCTTTACCTCGTGTTAAAAATCAGCACCAGAGTTTCATTACCAGTAAGCGAAAGTTCAAATTGATTATTCGACGAAATAACGTACACACAAACCTTAAAAAACACCAACACCAAACCTACTAATTGGAAAGTACAGCGAAAGAAAAAGATGGCACGAGAACTTTTAAGCGCAGACAGTTAAAAAAGGGAGAAATAGGAAATGATGCGAGGAGAAGAGACACAGAGACGAGACAAGAGAGCTGACCAGGAATGGGCCAGACAAGAAAGGTAAGGAGATTCCCTGAGCAGTGACAAAGCTGTTGTTGTCGGAGTAGGAGTCGTGGTGGTCCGTAAAGAGAGGATTGATTTTGAATTACAGGGAGAAGTAGCGATTTAGTGCGCAATTGAGCTTTTCAGAATACATGATTAAAAATTGGAAGCCGTGATGCAGATCGATCACATTGACACCACCATCACGAGACCATTTGTCCTGTCGTTCGGTAAAACGGTGCCGTTTATAGATCCTTCTTTTCTTACTGCTCGCGGTAGTATATGATGGAAGTTGTCGGGTGGCATTGTCTAATATATGCGTTGTAATTTCTTGTTGCATTGATTTAGGAATCGAATAAAAATCCAATATTTAAATAAACATTAATGATATTAAATAATTATAATTACTTTATAATCATAAAAATAAATTAAAAAAATATTTATTTTTGTAGTAGTTTTCAAATTAAACTATAATTTTTAGATGTTTTACTAGCTACAAGCCATTCTTTTTAATTGTTGAGACCTATAATAATCTATGTTCCAACCACATGTTAGGTAAAAACAACTCAAACTTGTTTTTATGAATTGTTTACTTAATACAAAACATAGCAACATGGTTTATATATTTTTTTAATTATATATTGTAAAAAATAATTATGTATTGATATTCTACTCTTATCATTTTTTTTTATTTTCTTTATTATTTTTCCCTCTCATTCCAATCTCTCACAAACCTCATACACACTTTTTTTGTGTAGCTAATTGGAGATCCAAAAAGTTTGGGAATAATTAAAGTTTCTCAACAAATCATTCAAGCTAAAAGAATCTATCTATTTCCAACTCAAATTGCTGTCTTAAACTCAAATCATACATTACATATATACTATCTTCTTCAAATTTTTTTGTGGTTATGGTGTTTTTTCATAACCCAAAAATTATTGAAGACCCACTAAAATTATTATGACTTTCAAGTTAATTTTCTTGAGAATTTATTTAAAAAACTTCATATAACTCAAATTCTCAATATTTACAATAATTATATCATTTTTCTTCCTTTTTTATAATTTGTTTTGTTTTGTTTTGATTTAGGAACCAAAGATCTAACATCTTTGTCTCTTGGAAAGAATAATAAACTCTCGATTTGTGTTGAGGCATTTTGTTTGGTGTTCTATTTTCGATCATTATTGTTGTATTATTATTATTTATAATTTATATAATTAACCTCCCTGTGGTTCGACCCCGGTCTTGTCGGGTTATTTATTACTTTGACACTCTTGCACTTGGGAGAAGATATAAATCTTTTCATCGTGTCAATAGTATAAAATCTTATTACTTAAATAGAAACCACACACAAAGGAGATTTCCATAAGATTATACATTATTAACATGATTACATTAGTTATCTTATTCGCATAACGCTAATACTTGTAAATATTGTCAAGCATTCATGATTATAACTTATGTTAACAACAAATTAAATTTCTTTCATAGCATAGGTGTAGGTTATACCATACAGTTAGGCTATGAACATGCCAAGTATTTGTTGTACCAAATATTATATAATAAAAATCTAGATTAACCATTTAACAAGCAAAGTATTAAAGAGTGAATAAGATAACAAATACAAAACATGTTAGTATCAAATATTAAAGTTCATATTGAGTTTACACTATACTTATTCTTATACCATTATTGTAACTTTTTCACATTGACATAATAAACTTAACTAAACATAATAAAAGAAAGAAAGAAACATAAATAAATAAGATACAAGTTAACTAAGTAAAAGAAAGGAAATGAAAGGCATAAATAAGATATTAATGAAAGCAAAATGATTAGTACCTAAAAGTGCATTTTTATCAAGGTTTTATATTACAATTTTGTACTTGAAGTATCAATAACTCCTTAACTAAAACATGTTTTATAATAACATATCTAATAATACAAGATACCTTTAATTTGTGTAAATATTCATTTCAAATGCAGGCCTATCACATAAATAAAAGGATTGATTGATAAGTTTAATAATTGAAATTAAAAGGACAAATAGATGGCCAAACTTAGAAAAGAGATGCTGGTGCAGTTCAAACTGGAATACTATTCGGTAATTAGGTCATATCTAGAGCTGTAGATCTCCAATTTAGGTCTATTTTATATGCATGGAAAGGTAAGACATAAGCCTACAATTACATGAGGGCCTAAGATTTAAAAAGGTCATTTTCAAGTCCAAATTTTAGTAATAACAAAGAAGTCTAAATCTGTCCTACAACCCGAACATTGTTAGTGTTTGGCCTATATCTGGAGTTCTAGAAGTCCAAATGACCTCAATTTATTTTCTTGAAAAGCTGAGATAATTTTCTAAAACTTTTATGTTTTCAAGTGATTCAAATTCTGACATTATCAATGATATTTTGGGTAGACAAGAGAAGATAAGGATCGTCACCAAGTCAAGAGTTGGTCAACCACTCATCAATTAGTAATCAAATCAATAGTTTCTAATTTTTGCCTAAAAAAGAAGGCATTTGCCATGCATTTAGGCATCTTAGTTTCTAGATCAAGATCATGCTCTTGCTTTTTCTCTTTGTATTTTTGTTATGCTTAAGTTTTATTTTCATTAATATCTTGTTTATGCCTTTCATTTTCTTTCCTTTACTTAGTTAACTTTTATCTTATTTATGTTCTTATCTTGTTTATTTATGTTTCTCTCTTTCATTATGTTTTGCTAAGTTTATTATGTCAAGGTGAAAAGCTTACACTAATGGTGTACGAATAAATATAGTGTAAATTTAACATGGACTTTAATGTTTGATACTAACATGTTTTGTATTTGTTATCTTGTTCACTTTTAATACTTTGCTTGTTTAATAGTTAATCTAAATTTATGTTATATAACACTTGGTATAACAAATATTTGGCACTTTCATAGCTCATATTTTATAGTATAACCGACACCTGAGTTATGAAAGGAACTTGATTTGTTGTCAACAAAGTTATAATCATAAATGTATGACGCAAAGCTTAAGCATTACAAAAATACAAAGAGAGAAAGCAAGAGCATGATATTGATTTGGAACTCATGATGCCTAAATGCATGGTAAATACCTCCTTTTATAAGACAAAATTGGGAACTATTGATTTGATGACTAATTGATGAGTGGTTGACCAACTCTTGACTTCATGACAATCTTTATCTTCTCTTTTGTCTGAATAGAAAGTCATTGATAACATCATAATTTGAACTAAACTTCTACATAAAGTTCTAGAAAATTGTCTCAACTTTTCAGGAAAAACAATTATGGTAATTTGGACTTCTAGAACTCAAGATATGGGCTTAACACTAAATAGTGTCTAGACTATATGACAGATTCAGACTTCTTTGTTCTTACTATAATTTGGACTTGAAAATGGCCCTTTTAAAACCAGACCTCCACATGAAAGTTGTAGGCCTATTTCTTACCTTTCCATCCATATAAAATGGACCTAAATTCGAGATCTACAACTTCAGATATGACTTAATTACTGAATAGTGTTTCAGTTTGGACTATCAACATCTCTTTTCTAAAGTTTGTCCCTCTTTTTGTCCTTTCAATTTCAGTACTCAAACTCATCAATCAATCCTTTCATTAGGCCTGCATTTAAGATGAACATTTACCATAAATTAATGGTATCTTATGTTATTATATATGTTATTATAAAACATACTTTTGTTAAAGAGTTAGTGATACTTCAAGTGTAAAATGATGATATAAAACCTTAATAAAAATACACTTTTAAGTACTAATCACACCCCCAACCAGCTTATTACTAGTTCCTAGTAATCAAAGCGTTAAAACAAAAAAAAAAAAACAATTTGTGAATTCCACAAAGTAAGGCATTCATCATTCAACTTGCATTAATCTATCTAGATAAATAAACTCTCATTAAATTTATATATCTGCTCAATACCTCTTAAACAAGATATTAATAAACTTTCCTTTTGTACTCAATACATCAACACATAGTTATGGAGCTTTTCTTGGAAGAAATTAAAATTTTTATTCTAATGTTTAAGGTTAACTTCCTTAGGTTAGAATTATTATTATTTATTTTCTTTTTTTCTCTCTTTTTTTTCTTATTTTTTAAATATATATACAAATAACTTAAAACATGATGCATCTTTAACACATGGAACGATCTTTCAGCTAATGACTCCTAGACTAGTTGATCTTAGAGCATTAGGTGTTGAGACATTCCTACAAGCTTAGTAACTCGAGTTGTAGATATTGATACATAGACAGTGTAATGTTTGATTCCCATAAGCTTTTCTCCTCAACCCATGTACCAAGCATTGCTCCCAAGTCAGTTGACTTTAGGGTATTTGGTGTGAAACACCATTTCGGGCTTAATTGCTTAGGTTAGGGAGGCTACGATACCAAACTTATCTACGTTTTTATTATCATTATTTTTTTTACTCTTTTTCTTGTTTTTTTTTTATTTTCTGCAAATTATATACTATCCATTTTCCTTAGTTGTTACCTTTAACAAAAGAACATAAATAATGTAATAATCCAATGTGTAACTCACAATTATATGTTAAAATATGTGTGTAAAAAATTAAAGTTTAAAAATACATGTTAAAAGAGTAAATGAGCAGAATGAAGTGATAACAATGCGAAAGAGTGCAAACCTAAATATTTCAAGAAGTATTATAATAGACCTTGTTAAGAATGATTATTAAGATGCGTATCAAGAATCACTTTAATAAAAGAGCTCATTTATTCTGTCATCCTAGTAACAATAGTTTTGCACATGTTTTATAAAATGGAAAACATAGTTAGTTAGTTTTTTTAAAACTATTACCTTCTTCCCCTAACTAAAATGAGACATTGTCCTCAATGCTCTAAGGTAGAAAGATACAGTATAGAAGACATCACCTGAAATAAGAAACACTAATAAACTTAAAACACATTTAAACAAATATAAGAAACAACAAAATACAATAATAAAACCAAAAGACACAAAGATTCACAAATGAAGGCTCAAATCCAATCTAAACTTTTTACAGCTTTTCTTAGTTGATTAATTTATACAACTCATAGAGGGATCAATTACAGGAATGAAAGATTGTAGTTGGTCAATCATTTGTTCAGCAGTAGCAGCAGAGATTATGATTTGTCATGCAGAAGATGTTAGTAATTCCTGTTCCATAGTATGATCAAGAAAAGACAATAGTTTATCATAAAAACCATTAACATTTAACAAACATATGAGTTTCTGGTGAATGTGCAATTGAGCCTAAGAGGTAATATAAAAGATTTTTTCCAATATGCTCATATCACCTAGTAAGGCAATGAAGGCATCACCAATTTAAAAGTTGCATTCATTCGATTAGACATTGTGGAGACCTGTAGTTCCTTTCTAATTGTTTTTCCAATGATGTTCCGTTGTGCTAAAGCTTTAGGGACAACCCCCAGAGCTTGACTACTTCCTAAAAATGCAGTTATTAGCACACCTCTCATTAACCCAAGATTGCCTTCATTGTACACTAAATGAATCTTTCTCTCAGCTAGCACCTAACCAAGATGATTTACTGATTCTAAAAACTCATTTTTTTTCCTAGGATTAGATCCACCGAAAACACAAACATTTCTTATGTAATGACCTGAAGAACTTGTCATTTCTACACACTTCTATATTTGTTGAATGTATGGGTTGAGTGAAAATGAAAGGAAGGAAGAGAGGATTTTATAAATGAGAAATTAAAAAGGCAATCATACTACCTATATGTAGGCGAGCTGGAGTCTCGCATATTCTCTCTCTCTCTCTCTCTTTATTTATTTATTTTTGAAAAAGCATGTATATGTACAGGTAGTTGTGATTGTAGCTCACATCTTCCTTTGATTTTACGTTCAAGAACGGCTTAAATGCTCTCTATAAGGCGAGGATATGTTTCCCATCCAATTTTCTTAAAAACTAGCAAATAAGGTCTTTTTTAGTCAAATTCCCAAGACTATGTCAAGCATATTTTTTATGGAATAGTGGCCACAAATCATAAATTGCATGATGCACATATCCACTAAGATGCGTCTCAAGAGTTAATAGAAGATTATCTAAAGACTCCTTACTTAGACCATCCTTAATGAATTGTATTTTATATTCACAATTTATAGATACCATTT